GACAGGGAACACAACAGAGAGTCCCTGATGGAGTGGGGGAAGGGTGGGGTGCAGAACTCAAATTCTAGTGAAAAGATCAGACTTAATGGTCTGACTGAGACTGGAGCAACCCCAGAAAGTATGACCCCCAGACTCTCTGTCAACCCAGAACCAAAATAATTCCCAACGCCAACTCTTCAGACAAAGATTAGATTGGACTATGGGACATATAATGATACTTGTGAAGAGTGTGCTTCTTAGCTCAAGTAGACACAAGAGACTAAACTGGCACCTTTTGTCCGGAGGTGAGATGAGAAGGCAGAGAGTTAGGAGCTGGATGAATGGACACGGGGAATCAGGAGTGGAAAGGAGGAGTGTGCTGTCACAGTATAGGGAGAGCAATCGGGGTCACATAACAATGTATGAATAAACTTTTGTATGAGAGACTAACCTGAACTGTAAACTTTCACTTAAACTACAACAATAAAAAAAAAGACTTCTAATACAGAAAAAAAAAACTTTACTTGTGTGTGATGTTAATGATACTGTTGAATAATTTCCTCATTCTGTTGGATCACCTTTCTTTGTAATGGGCACAAATATGGATCTCTTCCAATCAGTTGGCCAGGTAACTGTCTTCGAAATTTCTTGGCATATAGGTCCCCACTATACCCATTCAGGAGCCCTGGTGGTGCAGTGGATAAGAGCTGGGCTGCTAACCAAAAGATCAGCAGTTGGAATCCCCCAGCCACTCTTTGGAAACCCTGTGGGGCAGTTCTACTCTGTCCTATAGGGTCGCTATGAGTTGGAATTGACTCAACGGCAACGGGTTTGGTTTTGATATTGCATGACCTTTAATATGTGCTCAGGAAAAGTTCATTGAATGAATGCATTGCCATCATTTCCAACAACTGTTCAATAGCTCCCTCTAGCCCTCCAAACTCAGCATATCCAAAGCCAAAGCCAGACATAATTATCTTTCCTATTTGTCTACCTCTGGGACCATTAAATTCGTTTTCCCAATCTAGTTCAGTCAACTTTAATTTCTCCCAGTTGTTCTCTCTTCATTTTCTCTTTCCTGGATTATTAAACTATCAACTGACTTCCCTGCCTCTAATCTTTCTCTCTTATTAAAACAAAATTCCAATCATGCCAAGCACACCTCAAAAAAAAAAAAAAAAAAAAAATCCAGTAGTTTTCCATTGTCGATGGAATTAAATACAATTCCTTTGTCTGATAGTCAAGACCCTTCACTGTACCCTGTACTCCCCTCTGCTTCAGCCAAACAAATCATTCACTCTTGCCTACTTTCTCCCTTTCAGAATTTTGATCAGTGCAAGTTATTGAAGTTCAACAAATAGTTATTGAATCCCTACTACCTCCAGCCCTACGCTGGTCTCTGGATAAACAAATACGTGTAACACAAAATATTTGACTTGGAAGAGTTTATAATCTGCCAGGGGAGATAAATAGATTATTTTGGCACTAAGTGTTCTGACAGAGGTTAGCATGGGATCTGTGAGATCAGAAATCAGTGGCATAGTTCCCAGCTGGGGACAATCACTGAAGTCTGAATGAAAGCAATGACTCCTGAGTTTCCTTGAGAGATGGAAAAGAATTGGACAGATAAGATAGAGCAGGAAGTAAGAAGCTGAGCTGGGCATTCCAGGCAGAGGGAACAGCAGCAGCAAGTAGGTGTGAAGCAGGATACTGCAAACAGGTCAGCCCTGTGGGTGAGGACAGATCTGAATGTCCTTGCATAGCATGCCAAAGATCCTGGATCTTACTCTGTAGATGATAGGACACCATTAGGACTCACTCTGCGATCCTAGTAAGGTCCCTAGGTAACACAAATTGTTTGTGCTCAACTATTAACCTGAAGGCTGGCAGTTCAAATCCACCTAGTGATGCCACGGGAGAAAGGCCTGGCAATCTGCTTCTGTAAGGATTACAGCCAAGAAAACCCTATGGAGCAGTACTGTCCTCTAACACCTGGAGTTGCCATGCATCTTGATGGCAACAAGTTTGATTTTTTGGTTTTGCAATCCTAGCAGTAGGGCAGATGGATTGGAGGGGCTGTAATAGAAACAGAGAGGAGTTAGGAGGCTGCTGCAAAAGTCGAGGAGAGCCTGTTTAGCAAAATAAAAATAAAAAAGTCAAAGAGGGCAATGTGGATCTAAAAACGAGGCCTGTGAGAGCAAACAGCTCAAACAGTTCCCTCCACCTGAAATCCTTTTTTCCTGTTGGAATTCTGCCTCTCCTGGACAATTCAGCTCAAATGCCACTCCTCTCTTTGAAGCTTTTTACTGATCATCCCAACCAAATACGAGCTCTCCTGCCTCTGGAGCCTCCTGGCACTTTGTACCGCTTTTATGACATTCCATTTGACTTTTCACGTCGTCACGAACATATCTCAACATCCCCCACCACATTCTAAATTCCTTGAGGGCAGACACCGTATCCTATTTTTGTGTCTCCCGCAGTGACTGTCGCAGTACTTGACACATAATGTTGTTTAGGCGCCGTCTTCGAGTCAACTTGGACTCACGGCAGCCTTACGTACAACAAAACAAAACATTCCTGGTCTTGCGTCATCCTCATAATTACCAGCAGTTTTTAGTCCATTATTGCAGTGACAGACAGGTGGCAGTGACACATAGCAGGTGCCCAAAAAATAATGCTGAACATGTCCAGGAAAAACAAGCAACTCAACGGATGGGGTAGAGGCAGGATAAAGGCCAATGGTATAACTGCGCAAAGCAAGGATTAAGACGTTGGTCTTCTGAATCCAGAAGTGACTATCTTGTAGGGTGTCCAGACCGTATATGCTGAAGATATATTCCCTTTGGGTCCAGCTGAGTCTGAGAAACAAGAACACCCACATCCACACCCACAGCTTTCTAGTCCTGGAGAAATTGCTATAGAAAACACTCTTTGGGAAGGAATGAAGATTTCTTGTGCCAGCAGATGTTTCTTGAGCACCACCTGTGTTCTCAGCATCGCTGTAGGGCCTTTAGGTAAGTGTATGCTAGAGAAATAGAACCTAATCTTTAAGGTAGATTTTTCAGGCCAAAACCAAAAGATCTATGCGGTCTGGCAAAGCCAAGGAAGGCTTCCTGGAGGGGATGAGCTTCCCAGAGGGGCCCTGAAGGACAAGTTGGACTTGGGTAAGGAAAGAGGGGCAATAGGGCCTTCCAGGGAAGCAACAGGCACAAAGAACTGAAGTGGAAGCTGACTGGAGATTGTGAGTATTCATATAGTAGAGTATTCATTCCTGGAGTACCTCCGATGTGCTCAGGATTGACACAAAGTGATGGAAAACAGTTGTCCTGCCCTCGAGGAGCTCCAGTCTGGGAGGTGGGGAGTAAGGGGGACAGATACTAAAACCAACACAGGTGCTGTGCCTCATTCCACAAGAATGTAAGCCCCATGAAAGTAGAAATCTTATCCGTCTCGTTCATCACTATATCCCCAATACCTAGAATAGTGCTAAGAAAAAGTAGGTGCTCAATAAATGCACATTGAATGAAGGAATGCTACAATACAGCCAGAGAACAACAATAGTAATATTGATAGTTACTATTTATTAAGCGCCAGGCACTAGACTAAGAGTTTTACATATATTACCTTGTTTGATCCTCCAACAACCTTTCGAGGGTACTATAATTATCTCAGAGCCCTGCTGGCTAGTGGTTAAGTGTTTGACTGCTCAACAAAAGGTTGGCAGTTCGAATCCACCAGCCGCTCCTTGGAAATCCTATGGGGCAGTTCTACTCTGTCCTACAGGGTCACTAAGTCAGAATCGACTTGATGGCAACAGGTTTTTATAATTATCTCACCTTACAGATTTGGAAAGTGTCATGGATTGAATTGTGTCCCCCAAAAATATCTGTCAAACTTGGCTAGGTCATGATTCCCAGTATTGTATGATTGTCTACCATTTTATCATCTGAGGTGATTTCCCTATGTATTGTAAACTCTATCACTATGATGTAATAAAATGGATTAGCGGCCTTATACTGATGAGGTCTACAAGATTAGATAGTGTCTTAAGCCAATCTCTGTTGATATATAAAAGAGAGAAGCGAGCGGAGACACATGGGAACCTCATACCACCAAGAAAGCAGTGCCAGGAGCAGAGCACGTCCTAGACCAAGGGAAGATTGATGACACGGACCCTCCTTCAGAGCCGACATCGAAAGCCTTCCCCTGGAGCTGACGCCCTGAATTTGGACTTGTAGCCTACTAGACTGTGAGAGAATAAACTTCTCTTTGTGAAAGTCATCCACTTGTGGTATTTCTGTTATAGCAGCACTAGATGATTTAGACAGAAATCAAGGCTTTCTAACTATACACTTGCCTCAAAGTTACCTAACCAGTAAGTGACAGAATTGGGACTTGAACTCATGACTGCCTCACTTCATAGTCCATCCTCTGTACCTAGGGTCTACTGTTCATAATCCTGTCTGGGGAACTCTGTTGGGTAGCTGACTGAAAAGTGCAGGGAAAGATCTAAGGTAGGCTACTGCAGTAAAACCAGCCTGGAATAACGAGTGGGAATAGAGGGGAAAGGATCTACTTTTTTGGTATGTCAAAGGGCTTCTAAATAAAGCGCAGGGCTTGGTGACTTACTGGATATAGGAGATGACTAAGTCTGTCGCCTGAGAAAAGAAAGAATGCTGGTAGCCCTGAGAGAAATAGCTTTTCGCTAATTTCTACTTCTCCAGTGACAATACACTCGACCTTCTAGATAGATAATCCAAATCTCTAGGTCTGTTAGTTCCCCAGAGCACCTAATCAGGTGCTGGTCACATACAATAATGGCAAATCAGCTTGAAAAAGCACTCAAGAGAGCAGAATAAAAAAGGAGCGGGAGAAGAATAAACAGAGCGGTCGGCCTTGGACGCGTTCTCATCCTCTAGGCAGGTCGGCACTACAAAGGGAAATGTGGGGCTTGCCGAAGAACTACAACTCCCACAAGGCATCGGGCGGAGTTCTGAGGTTTCCGGCTAAAGCTTATTTCCGGTTTTTCGGGTGCTGACGCTCTCTTCCGGTCTAGGGGCTTCCGTAAGGTCTTTGGGAAGCGCGCGGTGAGCTCCTAGGCTCTGGGGCCCTGGGCGGGAGGGGATAGATTCTCGTGTTCGCAAGTCACCCAGCGGCTGGGTATTAGCTTGAGGAGGGCGGGGAGGGGCGGGGGCGCGCCGACAGGTGACGTGTAACCTTGACAAGAGGGAGGAGGGGACAGAGCCGATTGAGCCCCTGAGGGACCCAGAAGGGGATGTGGGGGACGAGGACGAATGGGATCCCGGCGGCAACAGGGGAGTGGGCGAGATGCAGGAGCGGGGAGCAGTACCCCGCGAGCGCGCGGAAGGATCCATTGGAGCTAGATCGAAGCGCCTTGTTGCAGCGGGAACGCAGCAGCCCTGGGGTATTCCTCCGTGCGAAGGAAGGCTTAGGGGCTGCTGCAGGTCCGAGATCGGCCGAAACCAAGCACCCCAAAGAAAGCTGTCTTCTGGCCTCATGGTGTCCTCTCAGAGGACCTCAGCAGCTAGGGAGCATCCCTGGCTCCTGACAGTTGAAGGGCAGTAGATATATTCTGGTACTTAGACCGGTGTTCCCGGAGCTGCAGGGCGGGCATGGTAGGAGAGTCTGGCAAACGGTTCAGCTCTGGTGGCTTACAGGTTGCTCTGTGCGTGGGGCTGCAGTTTTGGTAGGATCAAAAGGGCCCTAGGAGTTGGTAAAGCAGGGCTGCAGGAAGATTTGGGTGATTTTTGTATACTTGGATTAACTGCTTGCTTTGTTTTTTTTCTCCAAAGATGAGGTTGCTGACGTTTGTGGTGTTGGTTCTATTTGCTGTCACTCAAGCAGAGGAGGGGGCCAGACTGTTGGCCTCCAAATCACTGCTGAACAGATATGCTGTGGAGGGGCGAGACCTGACCTTACAGTACAACATCTATAACGTGGGCTCCAGGTAAGGACCTGAGGCCCTGCAGCTACAGGTTGGGCCCTGTTCTGGAGTCTTAGGTTTCCTAACTGGAAACAAGGAACATCCTGCTGGGTGGTGATTTCTCTTTGGGGGACCTCCAGCATCAGATATCATGAGTGAATACAGTATACTAGGTTTGAGAGAGGGGGCCATTCTTTCACTTTTGGGGTTGGAAAAGTTTCAGAGGGGAAGAAGTACGAATTGTGGTATAACAGAGAAGAAGATGAGATAGAAAATATATATAATCCCTTTGTTAGAAGTTTCAAGTTTCAACCCCCTTTCTTCCATTAGTCTATGAGCACTCTTGTTGCCTTTTTTTAATTTTGTCTCCCACATACATCTTGCTCCTCTTCCCCTCTCTCTACACACATACATGAGGAGAAATTGAGGCAAGAATGGATTTGGGCCCATTCCTTCCTAGGTACTGGAGTACGTTGGTGCTTCTGAGCCATAGAATCTAGTCCTTGACCTGGATTCTTCCATGCCACAAACCCAAGTTACTGTGTATCTGGTATCTGTGTTCTGCAGTTCTGATTTTTAGGACAGGGTGTAGATTTGATTGTCAGTTGTTTTAATTTAATTTTGTATCCATTACTTCCTAACCCTTGTGCTCCTTCTTTTTTTTAGTGCTGCATTAGATGTGGAATTATCTGATGATTCCTTCCCCCCAGAAGACTTTGGCATTGTCTCTGGAATGCTCAGTGTCAAATGGGACCGGATTGCCCCGTATCCTCTTGGCACTGGGTGATGAAGGCTGGTGGCTGGGAGGGAAGGTTGCCAGCAAAGTAGTGGGATCACTTCAAGCAGTCCGGGGCTGCGAGGCCATTCTCCTGCCACCTCTCCAGATAGGATGGGGCAAGAGAGACTGGTGGAAATCATGTGAGCGTGATTTAGGGTAGACCTGAAGTTCAGGTTAGGAGGCCTGGAGCATATAGGGAGGATGTAGACTCTTCTAAAAATGTTTGTGGCCGCACAGGGATGTTGAAGGTGCATTTGAAAGAAATTCATTTGAATGCTAGCATGGACCTGATGATCTTCTAAAGTTTCTTCTTAGTCACTGAGTCTCTTACTCTGATCTACGGGTTATTTTCTGTGTATTTTGAATTAGATAATTGTTTTCCTTTGTGAATTAAATAGATTTTCTGGCATGGGTAAATGTTCTCTTTGTATTTTGTTTTGTATTTTTGTATTTCTAAGAAGTGTCTTCTGTTATAGCCAATGAAAGATTTTCTGTAGGCTTAAGTGACTATAGCGTTTCATCCATAACATGTATTGCTTTGAAAGTTTATTTCAGAAACCTCAATACTGAGTACTTCACGGACCCCTTAAAATGTGGCTAGAAAGACATACTATATCCTACACTTTCAACTTTAAAAAAAAGCTCTGAAGTTTTTCATTCCTGCAGAGTGTTGCGAGTATGAAATCACCACGTGTTGGCAGCTGTTTTGTGAGTGGTGCGTTTAGTCCACAAATCAACGGTTGTTCTGGAGGGTTGTTATAATCTTGGCTTCATCGTTTTCCCTTCCTTGACTCTTGTGCTAGTGCTAGCAACGTCTCTCACACCGTGGTCCTGCGCCCTCTCAAGGCTGGCTACTTCAACTTCACCTCGGCAACCATTACCTACCTGGCCCAGGAGGATGGGCCTGTTGTGGTGAGTTGCCCCAACCCTTAGCTGAATGGAGCTCGGATCTCCAAAAATTTTCCCTGCCCCAGCCCAATTTCAGTGTGTCTTTCCATGAAAACTTGCAGAAGATTTCCAGAGCAGCCACTCAATTTCTAGGGAGATGAGATTGAACTGAAATGCAGGGAAGGAATGAAGTATGTTTCAAATCCTAAAGTCCTGGGATAGAGCAGTTGTAGTAAATGAGAGGGCAGCACCATAGCATTCCTTCCTCTTCGTCTGGTTTCCTTTTCGTCTGGAAGGTGTCATTTACCGTCCCATTTATTGCACCTGTGTTCTTTCAGCCCATCTTCTGGACCATTGCCAGATTGTTCCCAGTCCCTGCAGTGACTCATGTCTTTCCCTTGCATGAACATCTCTGCTTACCACATCGAGGCTGAGCTTTTCTGCCTGTCGTTGCCCAGCCTCCAACAGTCCAGCTGTTCTCGGCCTCCCCAGCTTTCTCTCCCACTCTCTCCACACAGACCCTCCGTCTAAATAGGCCAGGCTCCTCGCTACACCCCTCCCCCTCCCTCAGCGCTTATTCTTTCCTCTTTGCCTTTGTTCTCTGTTTGAAGTACTCTCTCCTGCACTTCATTATCCAAAGCCTTCTCGAGACCCAACTTTGAGCTGCGTCTCCTTGGTTCTAGCTTCTGCAGTTCACATTGCTCTTTTCTAGTCATTCTTTCAGTCGGCCTTCCTTGACTGCATCTAAGCTTCTATACCACTTCCAGTCTGTGGCACTTGAACACTTAATTACTTACTGCCTTCAGTAGTTCTCTTATATGTAAATCATCTCTCCCCAGTTTAATTATAAACTCCTCGAGGCCAAGGACTTTGTCTTAGATTTCTTCTGTTTCTCAAACTTCTACATATATAACAGAAACTCAGTAGTAAACAGTCTTTTGATTCATTAGGTTAAAGGTCTGTGAAGATTTATTGAGCCCATGCAATGTGCTCGACTGGGGAATACTGAGATTAAGACACTGTCTCAGCCTCAGAAAGCTTAGGGCTTGACTGTATAAAGGCCCCAGACAGGACCATACCAACGGGCTTTAGGCTCCTGAGTGAGTACATGGTAGGGAAGAGACTTAACAGTCAACCACAGAACTAAAAAATCTAAGATTCATAGCACTCTGCAGTTTCTAAATTTTCTTACATAAATTACATACATTTTCTTTCATAAATCACATAGAACCATGATCTTATCCCCCAGTTACGTTTTGCAGTCTTGGGTCGTTTTTGCTGTCAGAACCAATCTCAGGATTCTTTGGTTCCAGCTGGTACTTAATGAGTTAATAGACACCAAAGCAAAGGCTCAATTAGCACCTGAGAACAAAACTGTTTGCAATGGGCTTCAAACTCTTGGCCTCCTCTCCAAGGCAAAGGAAAGTGGGCCAGATTCTGGCCCTCCTCTAGTAAGGTACATTTGGGTGGGGCTTAGACCTCTCAGAGTCCTTCCTGTTATTTCATTTGAGCTTCATGTCAACCCTGAGAGGTGCAGGAGAAGAGTATTTTCACCTACAGAATGAGGAAATGGCCTGCTGAGGGGCCGGTGGGAGAGCAGCTTCACGCTTTTCACAGTGGCTAAGGTAGAACGGTTTGGCTTATGATTCCAGCTCCATTCCTGACCTGCCTTGTTTTGTAAATGCTCGTCCTGCAGTGTTCCCACAGAAGTCACTCAGGTCTCCCAGCTCCTAGTTTTCTCCTCGTTAGAACACACTGAGAATCATCTAACCGTCCCTTGCTCAGAAGCTTTCACTCCTCTTCTGGAAGCTCTGTCTTGGGACTTTGGGAACCAAGAATCTAATGTTTAGAGTTGCGTTGACTGGGACTGTGCTTTCTCGAATGAGATGAGTTTGTGACTTGCCTTAATGCCCTTCATTTCAGATTGGCTTCACCAGTGCACCTGGACAGGGTGGAATCCTGGCCCAGCGGGAGTTTGATAGGAGATTCTCACCCCATTTTGTAAGTTTTGTAATGTCTTCTCTTATCATTCCTCTGGTACGGGAACACCCTTTTGGTCCTGGGACCTCTTGACCTGAGAAGATTGTTCCATGGGGTGGTTCTTGCTATGGCTCTGTTTCTTGGTGTCTGGTATAAACAGCCGTCAAATATCCTGATTTAACCATGCCCAGAGACTCTTGGCAATGAGATAACAATTGTCAGAACCGCAACACTGACCTTTCTTTTTACTCAGCCTTTAGTAGAACCCCATTTTAGAGTCTTGGGTCTATCTTGAGGTTTAAAAAAAACACCTGGTTAGATTCGCAGGGCAATAGAGCATTGGGAAGGTTAAGTGGGAACTTTGTTATGATCTAGTCCAGGAGAGAATTTGTAGAGATTTGCCTAAACTACTGAGTGAGGGAATTCATTTATCTGTTGCTTCAGTGAATGATCACGAAGTCCCTACCATTAAGGATCCTGTGGTCCTTAGAGGACTGAGAACAAGTAACTGGTGAAATCATGTGTGATGGAGGTTTCATACGAGGTGCTGGAGGCGCACAGAGTAGGAACATTCAGCCTGGCCTTTGAGAATCGGAGGGTTTTCGGGAGGAGGCGAGGGTTAACCAGTATAAGAGGGAGTGTGGGAGGGCAGGCATTCTGGGAAGAGGAAGACGCTCAGAGGTGAGAAAAAGCTTGGTGTGGTCCAGGAATGGCAAATCATTTAGCAAGGCTAGAGGGTAGAAGGTGGGACAGAGGAAGAGAATGTGGAAGAGAGGGGCCGGAGGTGTAAGCAGGTGTTAGATCACAGGGGTCCTGACCGTCACTGGCAGGATGGCTGCGCATCTCCTTTCTCAAAGATTGTTTGAAAGAGAGAAGCTTCTCTTCCAGTCTGGGCTGGGTCAGGTGAGGCCTTTGGCTTCACAGCTTGACAGATAACGTTGGCCTTTAGAGAGCTGTTCTGTATCAGGAGTGGTCAGAGAGGAACCTTCCTGCCAAAGATCTTAAAGCCTAGAGTAGACTGCTGCCTTTCTCCTGGGACCCATTTCTCCCCAGTTCTCTCCCGTGCCCTAATCCAGACTTGTGACCAAGGCCTTCGTTTTTCTCTGCAGCTGGACTGGGCAGCCTTTGGGGTTATGACCCTTCCCTCCATCGGCATCCCCCTGCTTCTCTGGTACTCCAGCAAGAGGAAGTATGACACTCCCAAAACCAAGAAGAACTGAGTGGGGCTTCTGCAACCCTCCTCTCCTGCGAGATCCAGGTGCTTTCCAGACTTCAAAGGGTACCTCAAATGCAATCTCTTCTCCCTTAGCCCTTGGCCACCTTCTCCTGGATCCTGCTCTGCCCTCAGCCAGAGTGAAGGAACAGGCCTAGAGGCCTAGGTGTCTGAGAGCCTCCTTGGTTCCATCCTGAAGCCATACAGACGGGAACACCTTTGGTGACAGCCTTGAGCCCAGAGGGCCCTCTGGTGCCCCATTGAGGGACTGTTGGGCATATTGCTGGCAATGTGAACTCTCGGGGGTCCAGGAGGGGGCACTTCAGAGACTGCCTGACACCACCCCACCCCTCATCTTCCGTTCTCAGAAGAGGGTGGAAGATGAAAGCTGTGGGACTCTTGGAGGCTACCCAGTCTCTGTTCTGGGTTAGGGAAGCGCTTACCAAATGGGGTTTTCTAATAAAAATAGAAACAAACACCAGACTGACTTGTCCTTTTTTCCCCATTACCTGAGTGAGTACATGTTACTGTTGGACCTCAGGCCCTGAGCACCCAGGCGTCTGGGCAAGGAGGCTGAGTTCCTGCCTGCCTGCTGTAGCGGCTGTGGGTCCCGTTCCCAGGGAGATAGCCACCCCTCTTTGAACACCTTTGCATCCAACCCTTGCTTCGCTCTCTTTTGTTCTCACCAAACACCACATTCGCTAGGCTTTCCTTGCCTGCTTGCGCCCCTCGCCTGCCAAAGAAGAGTGGATGGGGAAGGATGGTCTGCAAATCAGCAGCTGTTCTTGTGCCCAGGGAGTTATTCTGGTCTGTGTACCTACTGTTCTAGAAAAGCTATCTCTCATGCCTGATGCTAGCCCTCTCGCTGTTTAAGGACTAGCTCTTTTTTTGAACTCGAGCTTATTTTTAATGCCTCTGTTGAGCTCAGGCCTGGCAGAGGGCCTGGCCCCTCTGAGTCGGGCTGTGAGCATGGCCTGTAGGGAAGGGAGTGGCTGGCTCAGTGCTCAGCTTTTGCTGCTGCAGCAGCGGGGACAACCACGCTGAGCTGACTCTGCAATCCAGGAATGGCGTGGTCCGGGACCAGCCTTCCAGGCCGGAGGAGAACCCAACAAATACCTACTTTGTTCCTGCCACTGAGTTTCCCAGTTTAGACTCTGCTCCCCCATCTCCCCTGCCCAACCAGTTTAACCTTTCCCTCCCCTGGCAGCCAGAGCCTCTGCGCCCCAGGAAGGATGAAAAGGACGTGGAGACAGCGGGAGGCTCTGAATGGAGTGGGCCCCGCCAGCTCACCTCCCTCTTCCAGGGCTTGCAGCTTGGACACCCCAGGACTGGCCAGGTCAGAGGGCAAGGAGCATGTATTTGTGATTGCTTATTGTGGTGTTGGTAGGGACTTGGGACATGCTCAGGAGGGTGGAGTGAAAACGGCGATAGGTCAGAAGCTTGGGAAGAGAACAAATGTAGGGAAGGAAAAGGGAGCTAGTTGGATGATGGGGTATGGATTAGGCAACAGGGAGTGATATCTTGATCTCTAACCCAAACCAAACCCATTGCTGTTGAGTTGACTCTTAACTCATAGCAACCCTATAGGGCAGAGTAGAACTGCCCCAATGGGTTTCCAAGGCTGTAACCTACACCCACAAAGCAGCCAGTGGGTTTGAACTACTGACTTTCCAGTTAACAGCTGAGCGTTGAACCACTGTGCCACCAGGGCTCCTCCCTTGATCTCTAGGACTTTGAAATGTTAGTCTTTAGAAGAGAGAACGCACATTTTCATCTCTGTAGTCTTCACTGAAAAGATAATAAGTTAACCTATAGGAGGAGAGGTGCTGGATAAACTTCCTCACTCTAGAAGGTAATTTAAGAAATTTATTCCTCAGTCCAAACCCTGGCAGGGGAGAGGCTTTATGGTACCTCTGCTTGCAGAACTCAGCACTCTGTGAGCTGACTCTCGTTATGGAGGAGACCGTAGGAGGGGAACAACGTGGGCCTGACCCAGATGACGAGAGAAGCATTGTGATGGCACCTTGAAAAAAGGCCCAAACCAGGTGCTTCATCTCTTGAGAGAGCAGCTTCCTTGGAGCCAGGATGGAATTTGAACCTCCCTTGCATAGTGGTGTTGGGGAATATAAGAGCCTCCAATGTCTATAGACAGAGACTTAGCTGGAATCGTTGGCATTAGGATTGAGCTCTCTTAACCTCTTTTTTTAAAATTTTATTTTTTTGTACTTTAAGTGAAAGTTTACAATTTGAGTTAGTCTCATACAAAAATTTATACCTACATCGTTATGTGACCCTAATTGCTCTCCCCATACTGTGACAGCACACTCCTCCTTTCCACCCCTGATTTCCCGTGTCCATTCAACCAGCTCCTGACCCTCTCTGCCTTCCCATCTCACCTCCGGACAGGCGCTGCCCGTTTAGTCTTATGTACCTACTTGGAGCTCTCTTAACTTCTTAAGGTTCCTTGATGGAGGATGAGCGGCTGGGAACCATCCTAGGGAGCTGGGAACCTGAACGCAGGATTGTGTGCAGGTCTGCAAGAGGAAAGAGAAAGCAAGCACTAGTCCCCCATCCTTCCTGGAGATTGGGTCCCAAAGCTGAGGGGCTCTTCCCTAAAAGGCAATACAGACAGAACCCGGCCGCCAACATGTTCCAGATCCCTCTACCCGTGGAAAGCAGCCCTCCACCCTCCCACATCCGAACTTTCAGCTGACATCTCCTCACCCACACACCCAGCCCCAGTACCAGGAGGAGCCAGGTGCCTGAACATCCACCCCTTCGTGTACAGTGTACAAGGCCTGGGGACTCCACCTGAAGAGGGCAAGTGGGAAATAGGTGTAAGAATTTCCAAGAAGCTGGGAGTCGTGGACGATTTGGTGAAAGGACAGGCAGTTATCAAGGCTTTAATCCCTTGAGAGGGCAGTTCGGGGCAGTGGAAGCAGCACTGAGTACAGAGGGAGGAGAGGGGTACCCGCCTCAGGTAAATCACTCCCCTTCTCTGCACCTGTTTCCTCGTTTGGACAATGACGACGTTCAATCAGAGGCCTTCATATCAGTAGGAGGAGGCAGGCATCTTCCCTGTGTTCCCGTGAGGTGAGAAATAACCACTGTCACGTACTCATGGTGTGGTTTTGGGCCCAGCCACGTAGGAAAGGGAACATACTTTCACATCTGGAAGCAGCTGCCCTCTTCCCCTCACCCAGAGTGAGACTTTCAAAGCAAGGATAGCAGCCCATTGTTGTTATTAGCTGCTAAAGAGTCAGCCCCCGACTCATACTGACCCCCATCTCAGGCGAGAACCACCACTGCCCTCCGGATCGAGCGTAGATCACCTAATTTAATCCTCTCATTTAGTAGATCTGGAAAGACTCAGAGAGGGGAGTGGCTTATCCAAGGTCACACAGCAGGTGGCAGCCAGCATATTTATTGAGTAACTACTATGGGCCCAGCATTTATGCTCCACTATTTGCACTCAACATCAATCACTTGAGGATCCTTGTTATCCCCATCTGACAGATGAGGAAACGTGAAGCTCATAGGTAATTTCTCCTGCCCTCGAGTGAGAGGCAGAGCCAGCCTTCCAGCATGTCCTTTCCACTAAACCACTGGGGTCCCTGCGATCACAGGGCCTGTCGGGGGTAGGGATCCCCAACGCCCTGTTACCTCAGGAAGTCCAGTGTCTGCCTAAGCTGTCCTCTGCCCCTGGAGAGGCAGGAACGGTGAGTCAGCCCCCTGCTCCGCCCCAGAAGTTGTTATCAGGGGAGAGGGTGGGGGAGCTGATCAAATATCCTGCAGCCTGGTATCCACAAGTGGTGAGCGTCCTATGTGTATGCTAAGTTGCCGGGTCAGCCCGTTCCTGTTGGCTGAAGGCGGCCCTCCTCAGATACAGCTGCCCTGGCGATGGCTCCTCCCTGCCCACAATGTAACCTGCCTCTTAAAGGGACCAACAAGCAGTTCTGAAGCCCCACCTGAGAGAGGACAAAGGACCTCCTGACCCCATGAGGACCTTGCTGTTAAGGAGGTTTCCAGCTGTGGCCCATTCCCAGAGATGTCCTGTATCTCTCCTCCCCAGCTCCACCCTGCCCCCGCTGGAAGGAGGGCAAGTTTCCCTGGGATGTCAGGTTCCCACATACTCTCCCCTCAGGGTGACCCCAGCTTGGCTTCCTGAACCTGCTCCCACACCAGCCTGGATGCTGGGGCTGCCCTTTGTCCAGGGAGTGCTCAGGGCAGGGGAACCCAGGCACGTCTCCCCTACCCCCCACCTCTGGTCAGTGATGGCACTGAAAGAGTTAAAGGCCTGGGCAGAACGCTGTCTGGGTGTTTGAAGTAGGCTGGGGAAGGGAAGGGAAGGGCTAGAGTGGTTGAAGAGGCAGCTGGTCAGAACTGGAGTGAGTCCCCATTGTCTCCTATGCAAACTTCTGGACCATGAGCAGTTCCCTTCAAAGGGCCCAGAGAGAGGCACCCCCACTGAGGTACTGGACTGGATTCTTAAAGGGGCCACCTGAAGCAGGACTTCTTCCAGTATTGAAACCACCAACTGAGGGCAGGAACAGGTCCCCCATCTTTGGAATATCTCCCAGGTCCGGTGAGTTTCCCTCTTCCCCTTCCCTGGGCTGAAGTCCTTACTTCCAGAATGGGCGTTCCCAGGGAAGCCGAGACCTTCAGGAATCCCTCAGCACCCTTCATAGCTTCTCAACAGCCTCCTGCCTTCAGCTCCCGTTGTTAATTAGGGCACCGCCTGGGTACGTATGTGTACAAATAGGAACTCACGGTAATGGCCAGCCGTTCATGAACACTGGTATGGCGAGTGATGCTCAACCCTTTACGTGCTTTCTTTCTTAATCCTCACAATGTTATGGGGTTGACATACCATAATCCCTATATTACACATGAGGTTTAGAGAAGTAACTTAACTGAACTAACCCATGTCAATTCAGAGGTAAATTGTAGGACTGCGGTTCAGACTCAAGTTCATCTAACACCAGTGCCCAGTGTCTTTTGGTCTCTCTTTTCTTACTTGGGCAGCATAGACACCAAGGATGGCACTGGAACTTCTAAACCTTGGGACCCTAATTCCCCCAGGGCCCCCTTCCTTTTGTGCCTAACATCGTTCCACCAACTCCTACTTGAGAACCAGGGACTTCCAGATGCCAGGTAACTCCATTCATTCACCGGTGAAGGGCTCCCTGCTCCGCCCACTCTTTTTAGCTGTTTCCTGGGATCTGATGGGTTAATCATCGGGCCACAGTGGCCAAAGTCTTCTCAGGTGTGTCCCTGTGAACCTCAGACCCTCTCTTTTCCTGACCCTTCTGGCACAGAACCCAGAATGCGTGCCAGGAAACTGACAGGACGTACGTAGGAGAGGACTAGATGCTCTCACCCCTTTTCTTCTCCGGCCCCTACAAGTCATGGGCTAGTCTGGGTCCCAGGTCCCTGGTAGCGATGGGGCCCCGCAGAACGGAAGAAGGCAGGCTTCCTAGATTCATA